TTTTAGAAATAGAATTGGCCAAATTGGTCAAGACATTGTTGAGTTATGCGCTTACCAACACATTTTGCGATTCATTTTTATATATAAGATATTTGTTTTTTTCAGGTACCCAAGCATTCCATGAAATGTGCCCGAAGGGACTTGGCTTCATTGACTTTAAGGACATCAATGAATGTACAGAGTTTCCCAATATGTGCCAGAATGGCAGATGCACTAATTATATAGGATCGTACAGCTGCAGATGTAAACAGGGATACGCCTTGGACGAGAAAGGAGTCAAGTGTAATGGTAAGTGGTAAAGGATACACTTTTATTTATTTTATCGACTGATATAAATTCTTTTTTTCCCCAGATATTGATGAATGTAACATTCTCCATGGAGTCTGTGGTGAAGGCGAGTGCCAAAACGTTCCTGGTAGCTTCGAATGCAACTGCAAGGAAGGTTTTATGAACGGAATGACCAAGGAATGCATTGGTAAATACATCATTAACATGATATTAATGTAATAGGGCAATTCTGCCGTAACAGAGCTTATAACATAGCGTTGTCATGGCAACGCTTTTTTAACTTCCCGTAGGGTAGTTATAGTAATGGGCCGAAAACTATATAGGGATAAATGAGTCGGATTTATACAAAAACCGACATTTCAGAAAACCGGTTTTCGATTTGTAAATTTCCCAGAGAACCGGTTTTAACCGGTTTTCGAATTTCATATAAAAAATCAATTTTTACAAATTTAGTGTAAGTTTTTGACTGAATTTATTTAATGTTGGATTTTATGAATAGTAAACAAATTTATTTTAATTTTAATTAGTAGATCTAAGAAATAATAGTTGATCTGGATTAAATAACTTTAAAAATATTTTTTCTTTATCCATGTTTCATTTTTACATTTGAGAATATAAGTATATTTTTGATAGTGAAATAAGAATTCGAATAAATAAAAATAATTCATTTTTAAATGAAAAACTTAACTTTTAATTAATTAAAAAAAATTAGTTACATATTGATGCATAATTGTTAATGTCAATTTTAGTTCTAAAAACAATTAAACAAAACCTCGAGTTTATTCTATTCCGAACAATTTTAATTAATTAATTTCAAATATTTAATTGTTTTTTAGTTTAATAAAATATGATTGCTAAAAACTGAGCACGCCTATCGATTTGTTATTTAGAAGTGTCTTTTGTTTACTCTAAAATTTTACGAAATAAAAAATACTTTCTTAGTTGAAACCGAACTAAAATGTGATATAATTCTGAAAACTTTGTTCTTTTATTTGTGGCATCTAGGGCTTTTAACTGTTTTTTTTTTCAATTTTCCGTAGGGTAATATATATAATAATAGAGTAGTAATGGGCCGAAAAACGAAAATGAAATTTTTTGCATTTCTCGACGTTTTGAAGGTTTCTGAACATTTTACTGGCATACCTCAGAAACTAAATGGATGTGTGTGTATGTATGTATGGATACAAATTTCCAGTCACGTTTTCGGGCCGAAACAACCGATTTGAATGCTTCAAAAAACATTCGATTCCTATTGATGGTGAGATGTGCTGATTAGTTTTTGGGAAAGACAGGTCCCGCCATTTCGAAGATACACAGCTAAATGTGCAAAAAATAGCAGTTTTGAGTGAACTAAACGTCCGATTTGAATGATCCAAAAAACTTTCTGCTTGTATTGACAAAACATTCGCTTTTGAGGATAAAAAATTATTACATCTTTTTTATTTTTCATAAATTATTTTCGTAATTTTGGATTAAAAATTCAAAAAATTACCCAGGCTAAGCACAGTCTAAGCGCCACTCTGGTATAAATGCTTACCAAGTGCGTTTAGACTGGAGCATTTTTCCAATTTTGTGAAAAACTATTGAAAAATGTGAAAATGCCGCCAAGTTAAGCACAGTATAAATGAAAATGTCACACAGAATTATTTGCAAATGCTTTTAGACTGTGACTATACGGGAGCACTTTTGCGATTTTGTGTAAAATTAGGCAACTATTTTTTTGAAATTGAATTCGAAATGAAATGACGATTGTTAATGTTCTGGAGATAAATTGATTTATGATTTACATTTGATTTGCTCAGATATAACAAACAAGATAGCAAAAATAATGAAAGTTACAGTATTTGTGTAATAATATATTTGAAAACGTTTAAAATTTCTCGAATATTTCATTACGGTACGGGAAGTTCCAGCAATTTGCCTTAAGGCACGATGCCATACACTACTAGTTATGCTTGTTCTTGGTATTGAAGATTATGAAAATGTCTATCAAGTTGCCATGCGATCAGGCGTATTTTACATATAAACAAGCAAGGAAAAATGTTATGATAACAGAATCTTTGATGCAGTTATTATAAGATTCTTCTTTTCGTTGCCATGACAATGCTATGTTACCGCAGAATTGTCACAGAAATATATATATATATATATATATATATATATATATATATATGTCTAACTATTCTTACTATTTTTTCCTAGATATCGATGAATGCAGACAAGATCCTGGTTTATGTCGAGGTGGCCGTTGCAATAACACAATCGGTTCTTTCAAATGTGATTGTCCTCCAGGACACGAACTGAGTCCTGATAAAAAATCCTGTAAAGACATAGATGAATGCTCAAAGGATAGTGGTATTTGCTCGAATGGGGCCTGCGAAAATATGATGGGAACTTACCAGTGTGTTTGCAATGAGGGATACCAGCAGACTGGTCTTAAGAGCCATTGTGAAGGTAAGGAGTAAGATTTAAAAAAAAAATTGTATTGGAGTGTATAGGATTGTTTATGAGGATCGGTGGGAAATTTTATCTAGTTTTTGGTAATATTATTTAAAAATAGTAGCCGGAGTAAAAATTTTGAGTTATTCCACAAACCGTAAAAAAGTCCCCTGATACATATATTGTAAATATGCAAAATACGTTAGGGCGAGTTCAAACTATTCAAAAATTTTGTACCAAAGTGTGTAAGACTGTTTTTGAGGATTTTTAGTATATTTTATCTAGCTTCTGCTAAAGTGACTTAAAAAAAGTAGCCGGAAGAAAATTTTGTAGTTATTTAACAAACTGTAAAAAAAAAGTTTCTGGGTTCATACATTATAAATATGCAAAATACATTAGGGCGTGTACAAAGTATTCAAAATTTTGTATCAAAGTGTGTAGGACTGTTTATACGGATTTTTAGTAAATTTTATCTAGTTTCTGCTGAAATGATTTCAAAAGAGTAGCCGGAAGAAAATTTTTGAGTTATTTAACAAATTGTAAAAAAAGTTTCCGGGTCCATATGTAAAAAATATGGAAAGTGCTTTAGGGCGTATTCAAACTATTCAAAATTTTTGTACTAAAGTGTATAAGACTGTTTATGAATAATTGTTGTAAATTTTATCTAGTTTCTGCAAAGCTAACTAAAAAAGAGTGTCCTGAACAAAATTTTTGAGTTATTTAACAAACTGTAAGAAAATTTTCTGGGTCGACATATAAAAAATATGCAAAATACGTTAGGGTGTGTTCAAACTATTCAAAATTTATGTATCAAAGTATATAGGACTGTTTATACGGATTTTTAGTAAATTTTATCTAGTTTCTGCTAAGATGACTTTAAAAGAGGGCCCGGAAGAAAATTTTTGAGTTATTTAAGAAACTGTAAAAAAAGTTCCCTGATTCATATGCTGTAAATATGCAAAGTGCATTAGGGCGTGTTTGAATTATTCAAAATTTTTGTATCAAAGTGTATAAAATTGTTTACAAGGATTTTTGGTAGATTTTATCTAGTTTTTGCTAAGCTAACTAAAAAAGAGTGCCCGGAATAAAGTTTTTGAGTTATTTGATAAAATGTACAAAATTGTTTGTTGTTACTTTAGCAGACATTTTTTTAGCAAACAAATTACTTTAGCAGAAATCAGATAAAATTTGTTAAAAAAAAAATATAAACAGTTTGTTAATGTTCTATATAAAAGTTACACTTTGAAATCGAATTTTTATACAGCGCAAGTTTAAAATGTTGATTTAAGGTAAAACGTCTGTCCAAACACATACGCATACTTTTTCCAAATTCGGCCTCATTTGATTCAGAAATGTCGAGAAAATATAATATTAGGAATAGGCGAAGTGTTTGAATTATTCAAAATTTTTGTACTAAAGTGTATAACTGTTTATAAAGAATTGTAGTAAATTTTATCTAGTTTGTGCTAAGATGACTTAAGAAAAAAATAGCCGGAAGAAAATTTTAGAGTTTTGTGAAAAAAGTCACTTGATTCATTTTCGTAAATATACAAAGTCGTGGGGAATTTTTTCTAGTTTCTGCTAAGATGACTTTAAAAGAGTGCCCGGAATAAAGTTTTTGAGTAATTTACCAAAATGTAGAAAAATGTACCCAATCCCAATATGCATTGTAAATCTACACGACATATAAAGGCGACTTTACACTAAATTTATTTCAAAATTTAGTATACGAGCATATAAAATATTTATACAGAATTGTAGTAAATTTTATCTAGTTTTTGCTAAACCAATTTGTAAAAAGTGCCCAGAACAAAATTTTCAAGTCGTTAAAAAGAAATGTAGAGGAATTTTGTATTACAGATGTGCTTGTTTAGATGCTTGGGAATCAGGCGGCATTTTGCTACATTTTTGTAAATAACTTGAAAACTTTGTTCCGGGAACTCTTTACAAATTAGTTTAGCAGAAACTAGATAAAATTTATTAAAAATATGTATAAACAATTTTTTAGGAACCCATATAAAAAAATTATGCAAAACGACTTTGAATTGTGCAAATTCTGTATACATCTTTTTATATACTCACTAACAAAAATTTATATAAAACTCTGTTACTAGTTACATATTCTGTTAAATGGCATTTTTGTTTTGTTCTTTTGTGGGAGTTGTAATGATTATGATAATATATTAAATTAGAAACTCCCAACATAAAAAATATATCAAATTTATTGATTATAAAAATATTTCGATATCAAAAATATCCATGAGTCGGGGTCACCAATGTGGGAGTCGTAATGATTATGATAATATATTAAATTAGAAACTCCCAACATAATAAAAAAATATAAATTTATTAACTGTAAAAATATTTCGATATCAAAAATATCCATGACATGTCCCATTGTTTTTTACTAATCAAAACCAGCCTGCTTGATATCGCCACACTTTTAAGGTTCTTTCTTTTAAGGTTTTAAATGGCAGTTTTGTTTTGTTCTTTTAAGATTTTGAAGATCTTTTGAGGTTCGTAGACCTTATCTTGTCCATCTGAGGTCAATGTTGAAAAATAATAAACTTATGTTGAACCGCAAAGTACCATTACCGGTTTATTGAGTAAGGACGAGCCCACGAGAAATGTGCTATTTAGAGATAATTCTAAAGATTATTAAGCACAATGTGCGGTTTTTGAGATTTTTTTGAGACTAAAATAAAGTTTAGGAAACATTTTAAATTTAGAAATAAAAACAGCAAACATTGCAATCAAAATTTATATGTTAGAAGTTATTTTGATACCTCATGTATCCATGGAGAATTTCAAAGGTCGGAACAAGAGCCGATTTCAAATTTGTTTTGTATAAAATTTTATATCGGACTCAAAAAGATTGTTCACATAAAATTTTAATAAATTTTTGAAAAAATGTAGAAAAATGTCCCGAATGTTTCAATCCAATCTTTCACAGTACACCAATTCAAAGTCGTTTTACATAAAAATTTTATATGTGTCGATAAAAAATTGTTCATATTTTATTTTGATAATTTTTATCTAATTTCTGTTAAACTATTTGCAAAGAGTATCCAGAACCAAATTTTCTAGATATTTAAAGCAATGTAGAAAAATGTGCTGAATATATTTTAGTCCATACTTGCACAGTATATATATTTGATTTCAATTTAGGTTCATTTAAAATTTTCTTGCTAATTTCTCAATTTGGCTCTTCTTTATGAAATTTTTGACACCAATGCTATGAATTAACATAGCGTGTAGATAATTTTTAGACAAAGTAAGGAATCGAAGAAACATTGCTTGCATGATGCATTTAAATTTAAATCGTTTTGTAATTCGAAATCTTCATGGGATACAAATGCAAAGACGAGTTGTATATAAAACGGAATTTTGTATATAAAATAATATAAATATAAATGAAATAAAATGAAAATTATTTTTAAGGAATCATGGTAAATTATATCTAGTTTTTGGTAAGCTAATTAAAAAAGAGTACCCGGAACAAATTTATTTAGTAATTTTAAAAAATGCAGAAAAATGTCAAGAATATTTAAGCCAAATTTAAATTTTTGCTTTGGAGTATATAAGGCAGTTTATACTATCTATTCAAAAATTTTGTATCAAAGTGTATAAGACAGTTCATATGGAACTTTAGTAAATTTTATCTAGTTTCTGCTAAACTAACTAAAAAAGAGTACCCGGAACAAAATTTTCGAGTTATTTAACAAATTGTAAAAAAAGTATCCGAAATCTATACAAGTATTAGGGCGAGTCACATAACTATGCTTTTTTTTTTTAATTTTTGCGTTTGTTTCAACTGAAAGAGAATTTTTATATTACAATATGAAGTATATAAATATATCCTTAGATCTGCGACCAAAATCAAATCCAAGTATTATATGTATGTATTATAATCTCTTATTATAATAGATCTTTGTAGAAATCAATTCAATTCATATGCAACACTTTCGTTTCCGCAATTAAATTTACATACTGCATTCCCGATTTAAATATCATGTAAATTGAAACAAAACATGATTTTTCAATTCGTAAATGGACGAATAAAATTAACATAATATATAATAGACACATATGTACAAACACTCATACATAACTAACGGGTAAATACACACTGGTGTCTTATAAATAAATATTGAGATTAATAATTAAGATAAAAGCTATCCTATCTCTTAAGTTGGACTATAATATAAGAGTATACAAAATTTTATCAAAATCAGTTCAGTAGTTTCGGAGTTTATCGCGGACATACATCGTAAAATAAAATTTATATATAAATTTTAAGTCAAAGTTGACTAATTTTGAGAACATTAAATTCATCATATTTTTGAAAATTTTTGGAATTATTTTTCACAGCTGTTAAGGTTACAGTTAAGGTTTAAATAAATAAAATTAATAAAAATTAACCACAATAACCGAACCATTTGGTACTTTAATATTTATTAACTGTCACTTCAGATAATTGATGAAGTGCTCATTTGAAAGGTGATAAAAGTTATGTAAATAGTCATAGATAGGCATGCACCCAAAAAAGGCACTTACCGAAATAATTTCCTAAATAAACATTAGTCTAAGACATCTTGAAGATATTTATTTTAAATTGAAACACGGTAATTGAATTAAGAGAAAAAATAGTAGATTTATAAAAGTGCATTTGATCAGAACTAATTGAGTGTTTTATATGAATTGGATTTCATTGGGTTTGTTTATGTTTTGCCAGATTTTGATTATATTTGATCTTGTTTCATCAGATTAGTCCTTCTTATTTTATTTGAATCTTGCATGTCTGATTTGAATATTTCATGTCCGATTTAAATTTTTCATGTCTGATCCAAATTTTTCATGTTTGATCCAAATTTTTTATGTTAGATCACATTTCTGCAGTTTTTATTTTGTTTTATAAGATTTGACCCTATTTCATCAGATTTGATCATGATTTTATTATTTTTTCTTACATTTGATAATGGTTGCTCAGACTTTATAACGCTTAATTTTCTTTG